GACCAGACTACACAGCGCAATAACCCAGAAGACAGAAATCTTCATACTCACCGCTGTGAGAACCTCAAGTCTTACATTGGAGTTGTGTTCTCTTAATTTCTGTGACCAAATCTGGTAACCTGTATATATCATAAAGTAAGGGAAGGAAAAAAATTGGGAGACCAAGGATAAGGTGACTGGATGACATGGAGGAGGATATCAGGAAAATGAGGGTTAGAGGATGGCAGAGAAAGGCGGAAGATAGATCAGAATGAAAGAAACTCGTTAAAGAGGCTGTAGTACCACGAAGCAGTATTAGTAGTAGTTTCATTGGTATGCCAAATTCAATGGGTATGTTATGTAATACTACCTCATAACTGAATTGAGGGATATGATACAGGTGATATACTGTACCACAGCACTCCCATTCTTTCTCCAGTATTTGGTTAATCAATGTTTGATAACAGAAATTTTTCTACAAGGCAGAATATGCAAGCCTAAAGGAATTCTTTCAGTTGTATTTTAAATTGTTTACTTTCAGGAACAACTCACTTTCTTTGCTCCATGTCCTATTGGAACATGTGGTCCACGCCTTGATCTTAGAGAAAATCTCATTATTTGCCTCTTGGCAAAAAGGAAGAACAAGATGACTGCAAGTACACCACAAGCAATGATGATGACAACTGTTACACCTGACAACTGTTCTGCCATAACTGTTCCCAATTAGAGGAATAAATTTTTCTGGAATCAGACAAATTTCAGACAAGGTGTAGTTAAAAGGCATGGTTATTTCATATATCTTGGGTAAAGGATTACTTCACATCAGATTTAGAAACCAGGCTTAATAACCCTAAAATGTGATTTGAACGAATAACATGTTTCACTTTACCACGAACTTCTGCTTATTATAAAACACTGTTTCTGCTACATATTTTAATCTACCTTAGTTTTAAAAACAATAAACACATCAAAAATACTTCATTTAAACGCATGTGATTACAACGCCTAATGTCCGCGAGAGACATCTATGTATGACACCACGGGTTGCAAGCTGGATGGCATGAAATGATATGACATTACAACCACAGATGATTCGGTCGTAACCTGGTCCAAATATAAACAACCTGTATTTCTTATCTGTGCAATCTGTCTACGGTTTATGTGACATACATGCCTAATAGCATAAACCAAGGGTTCTCAATCTTTTTCGCCGGCGTACCAGTAATTCTAATTGAACACATTAAATTTACCAGTAACCTAATGCGTTCAGGGAAAAACTTATTTACGTTAACATTATCTTATGATTTTCTTAGTTAGTTCGCATACCACTCAACATTGGCTCTCATACCACAGATTGATAAATGCTGGCAAGGACAACTACCAAAGTTGCATGGTATGTCGGCAGTCGATGAATGTGTCTGTTAAGTTGGTATTTGCTGTCGTGTATGCATTTGGTCTTTAATGCTTTGAGCCGTTGTTTGTTTTTAACGCTATTTGATCTATGCAGGGATAACAACGAAAACAATGACAAAGCCTCGGAATTAAATTTTTTGCTTGGAACGACCCAGGCGACTTGAGAATTAAAATATGAGGAACCTATGTAAAACAGTTCCGCGGGATATGGTAGGTCGGGGTAACAAGTTGGTATCACAACGTTAATGATTGTGTCTGTCATGTTGGTGTTTACTGTCGTGGTGGGAAGTTGAGATGGGTTTGGTATGAAATATGTTGTGCCGATTGTTTTTGATGCTATATTTTGTATATTATTCCCAAATTAAGCTCTGCATGCTTTGCCATGAGAACAGTCGTACCACTCATGACAATAGATACTTTAAAGCTAGTTTACTTTACTTGCTCTCTGTAGTGTCATATGGATTAATCTTTTGGGGAAATTCAACAGACAGTAATAATGTTTTTTACATGCAAAAGAAAATTATTAGAATAATGGCAGGTGTCAAAAGCAGGGTATTTCGTAGAAAATTATTTCGTAAATTTAATATACTTCCACTTGCAAGTGAATTTATACTCTGCTTGCTATCATTTTGTGGTGGAAAACGTGGATAAATTTAAAATAAATATAGATGTACATAATTTAAATACAAGACGTAAAGATGATCTCTATGTGCCAAATGCTAACCTTACTAAATATCAATTTGTAAAATTATTTTTCATTCTTGTATTGCAGAATCTGAAGTTTATGTACATTGATATGTGAAATACGTTCTTGTACTTGTGTTGAAAGTTCTGAAGTTTATATTGTATGGAATGACATGTTCTACATCATTTGGTTGAGTCCTAAGAAGGATCTATGGAATGTAAATAAACTCTACTCTATTTAGGCGATGTTTGACGAACACCGAAAACAATAACAAAGCCTTGGAACTAGATGTATTGCGTGTAACAACCCAGGCGACTTGAGAATGGGAACTTGGAATGTGAGGAGCCTGTGTGGAATATATTAGCTATGGAGGTATGGAAGTAGAACTGGATTCACCGATTATGGGCGATGACCTTGTGGGGAGAGCTTAGTATGTATGCGGGCCACTCAATGAAGGTAGGAAGGAGGAGGAAAGGAAGCAATTAAGTTTACCACTTGTTTCCATCAGTCAGTACAGTTTGTGTCAGTGCAGCAGTGTGGAAGCCTGATATTATTGTCTTGTGACTGTGCTGTGTTAACAACATGCCACCTGTTCATTCCAAGTTAGGTTCCAAAACATTACGCAGTCAGAGCCAAGAAATTGTCATGAACGTTTGTAATTTTATGAAAAGAGAGGCAAGAAGTAACTTCTCATAATGCAGCTTACTTCAGCCTCCTAGTATTTCATCCCTCTTGGGTCTAAATGTTTTCCTTAGAATCCTGTTCTGAAACACCCTCAGTCTACATTCCTCCCTTAGTATATGAGACAAGTTTCACACCCATACAAAACTACAGGAAAAATTATAGTTTTTTTTTTTTTGTATTTTAATCTTTACATTTTTAGACTGCAGACAAAAGGTTCTGAGCTGAATGGTAGCAAGCAATACCTGAATTCCATCTGTTCTATATTTGATTTGTTACTGTTGGTCCCAAATATCTGAACTTTGTCACATTTTCAAAGAATCCATTTGCTATCTTTATGTTATGTTTTTGCCCTGCATTCTAGTGATGAGTTATCAACCACTAACCTTAAAATAAGCTGTTGTATAATGAAATGTAAGTCACCTCAAGAAGGGAGAGAGCCCTATACCACATGAATATCAGTTCTTTAAAGGCCCGTTTTGGCTCCTGTCGGGAAGGCGAGAGTGTGAGCCACACATTCGTCTAATGCTGGGTTAGGTCTAAACATGCAAGGAGCTTTCCTCATACACTCATGAAGTGGTGCAAAAGTAACTGAATGATTTTCATTATTTGCTTGAAATTACACAAATTTGGCAGAGTTAATGTGTTTGGGAAAGACAGAAAAAATTAAAATTTAATTTATGAAAGACTTAACACTGAACTATTACAATTTTACCTGTTTTGTATGGTATGAATGTTGGTTTGTCTAATTATGGAAGGGCATGGAGGGTATTTGACAACAGGCTGATGATAATATTTTGACCCTGAAAGATGACGTGACTGTTGGTGAGTGAAAGTTGCATAATGAGGATTTTGTACACTTCACAAATATGGGTATTATGATATGATGGATGGGGCTTGTAATACACATGGCATTAATATGCATACAACTTCCAAATCCTGAAAAATGACACCTAGCCTCAGGTGGGAGGGTAAAATTAAACTGAGTCTTAAGGAAATAGATTGCGGGCTGGATTCGTTTGGTTGATGAAGATCAGTGGCATGCTTTTATGATATAGTGGACCTCTGGGTTCCATAATACACTGGGAATTATTCAAGCTGAGCTTTTATTAAGTAACTGTTCAGGAGAGAGACTGCTCTATGGTGTTGATTATTGTATTAAATGGGTTTGAAGATAATTTTAGTATTTACAATTATGTTTTCACTTCCACTTATAGTGACTGCATTCTGCCTCTATAGAGCGACATCAGTGCTGGAGCCGTTGTCAGAGGGGGAGTGGAGGTGACATGACATGAAATACTGTGCAGCACCAAGAACAGAAAAATGTTCTGCATTGACTGTCAAAGTAACCATTGATGCTTACAGGTCAGCATATATCATTGATACTTCTGGCCCTATTTAATGTACATTGAACAATATCAGAGAATATTTTGGATTATGATCTTCCTGGTTTTGACTCATCAGTGATAACCAGGATTTCAGAGGAATGTGTTACGTCCATCTCTGAGTACTGTGGTATTATGTAGTCTTTTCTGTAGTTATCAACATTGTAGGAGAAACTATGGTCTCCATTTTCAGAGTGAAGTTATAGTCTTCTTTGATAAATAGCAACCACCTACAATATTACATGATGTTATAACCCAGAAAATTACAAGCCACATTTACACTACTGTGGAAACAAAAGGTGATAGATAGAATGATTGATGAGTTTGTGAGGAGGAAGTCCTGGTATATTCAAGACTCGCTACTAACATCCATTAATCTCATGTCAATAGTTATCTTGAAGATTTCTGTCTTCTGGGTAGTTGCGCTGTGTAGTCTGGTAGATGTTTACCGTTTCGAAGGTCACACTGCCTCTGTCATCAGGGCGATCATCGCCCTGATGACAGAGGCAGTATGACCTCTGAAACGTTGGTTAACATCTACCAGACTACACAGAGCAACAACCCAGAAGACAGAAATCTTCATACTCACTGCTGTGAAAACCTCAAATCTTAAATAGTTATCTTCCCCACAAGATTTCAAAATTACTCCAGTACTGCCATTGATAATGTTTTATAGACAGTTCCAGGAAAGATAAATAGGCTCTCTGATCATGATGCTCAACTTCTAGTTATAAAAAATATAGAATAGATCTCTAATTACCATAATTACAGGAAATGATTCAGACTTGTAAATAATGACACTATTAAATAATTTATAACACACCTAAATAATGAAAACTGGGAATCAGTATTAAACAGACATGATGTAGATTCCAAATTTAACACATTCCTAAATATCTTCTTAAGAGGTTTTGAAGTGAGTTTGCCCATCAGAACAGAGAAAAAGTTGTTTGAAAATAAAGAATGGATTATTAAAGGTATTAAAACACCTTGTAAACATAAACGAGATCTGTACCTAAATTGCTGAGCTAGTAACAACCAAATAATAAAAAGTCACTACAGTAAATATTGCAAGATATTAACTCAAGTCATTAAAGAGGCTAAACGTGCACATTACAATAGAGTCAGATAACAAAGTAAAAGCAGTCTGAAGAATTGTGAGAAGGGAGACAGGTAAATATCAATAAAGATAGAGGATGATATAATAAAGAATCCTAAACTCATAGCTTCTCTTACAACTTTTTCTAATGCTATGTTAAATAACAAACAGGCCAAAGCAGTTATCAAAGGTTCTGAGAGGTTTGTCTTCACTCTGACATAGCTTTTTGTATCGGTCATTGTTACTTTGACCATACTTATAAGTTTTTCTGGAATATTCATTGATCTCATAGCATTATACAGTTCTGACTACCTTATACTATCATAGGCTGCTTTGAAATCAATAAAGAGGTGGTATGTACCAATTCCAAATTCAATTGTTCTTTCCAGAATTTGTCGCGTTACAAAGATTTGATCGATGGAGGATTTGTTTAGACGAAAGCCACACTGATAATCACCTATACTGCGCTCAACAAACGGGAGAGGCCTGTCGAAATAACCTTATAGCCAAGATTTAACAGTAAGATACCTCGATAGTTATCACAAACCATTTGATCACCCTTTTTATGTACAGGGCAGATGATTCCTTCCTTCCATTCATATGTTATTTCTTCGTTCATCCAAGCCTTCCTCACTATTTCATAGAGCCACTGTTTTAACTTTCTTCCTCCATATTTAAAAAGCTCTGCTGGGATTTGGTCTGTTATTGTCGATTTGTTATTTTTAAGTTTTTGAAATTCTTTTCGAACTTCTTCAAAACTGGGGGATCCACTATAATTCTTGAATAGTTTTGAAGACTGCTGATCTTCCTCAACTTCACTCTCGTTTTCTTCCCCTTTCTCCCATCCTATTTCTTGATTGAGCAATTTATCAAAATGCCTATACCATCTTTCAAGTATTTCCTGGTCGTCACTGGTGATGGTACCATCCTTCATTTTCACTAAACTCAATGCTGGCTTATGGTGGTGATGGTGAAAAATCTACAATGTTACTAAAAAGCTGCACAGACCAGATTAGTGATCCTCTATGTTATTTGTGCAATCAATCAATGGCAGTAGGCACTTTCCCAGAACGACTGAAATATTCCAAAAAAGTGAAAAATTTTGCATGTATAATTACAGACCAATTTCATTTCTAAAAGCATTCTCTAAAATTTTGACAAAGTTATGTATAAGAGAGTAAGTTATTCCTTAAACTCAAACAATGTCCTTACAGGTAAACAATTTGAATTTAGAAAAAATCTTTCGACTGATAAAGCCCTGTTCAGTTTTACAGATGAAATCTTAAGTGCACTAAATAATAAAGTGCATGTTTGTGGAATGTCTTGTGATCTTGCTAAAGCATTTGATCGTGTAAATCGTGAATTATTACTATCAAAACTAAATTTTTGTGGAATTCAAAATATAGCTGGTCAGTGGTTTAAATCATACCTTCATGACAGAAAGCAACAAGTAGAAATAAAATCATCAAATTCAAATGATTGAACCTACTCAAATTGGGGCATTGTAAAACATGGAGTGCCCCAAGGTTCAATACTTGGTCCTCTGCTTTTTCTCATATACGAGGCGCGTGCACAAAGTAAGTTTCCCACTCGTCCCACAGCTAGCAAACCTTATATTGCGCGAAGCGACTGTGCGTACGTGATAGAGCAATGACGTAGCATGGCGCATGCACTAACGGCACTTCCCGCGTTCTCACAGTAGCATCGTTGCAGCTGTTGAAGATGGAGATTCTTATTCCAGCTCCCGCCGACTGTGAAGTGCGGTCAGTGATAACGCTAGGCCGCACACGGCTCAACGGACAGCGAGTCTCCTGCAGGAGTTCAGCTGGGAGGTGTTTAATCATTCACCCTACAGCCCGGACCTCGCTCCCAGTGATTTCCATCTTTTCCTACACCTCAAGAAATTCCTGTCCGGTCAGCGTCAGCGTCAGCGTTTTGAGAATGAAAGAGAGGCGGAGATGGTTGTCACACAGTGGTTCCAATCCCAGGCGGCAGACTTCTACGACACAGGTATTCAAAAGTTGGTCCCACGGTATGACAAATGTCTCAATTCCGGTGGCGAATATGTTGGAAAATAGCTGGACACTTGCGCTATCTGTTGCAATAAATATTTCCATGAAAATGTGTTTTGTTTCTGTAAACGGCCCCAGGGAAACTTACTTTGCGGACGAGCCTCGTATATCAATGATCTGCCCCCAACCATCAACTCTCATTCTAAACCTATACTCTTTGCTGATGATACTAATATTATTATTTCATATCCAGAAATTGTCTGTTTTTAAAATTGCATAAATGATGTCTTTGCTAGCTTGAACTAATGGATTAAAGCCAATAAACTCACATTAAATTGTGACAAACCAAAATTCATGAAATTTTGTACTAACAACAGAACTTGCGTAAATCTAAATATAGGGTGTGATGATAAAATAATCGAGGTAATAGAAACAACTAAATTTCTTGGCCTACAAATTGACAACAAATTACACTGGAAAACACATTCAATACATTATCCCTAAACTAAGCTTGGCATGTTTTGCTTACTTCCATTCCATCATGTCATATGAGAATCATTTTCTGGGAAAATTCGATGGACAACAAAAAGGTATTTCACACTCAAAAGAGGATCATTAGAGCCTCTTGTAGGGAATTATTTAAGAAGTTTTAATATTCTTCCACTACCCAGAGAATTCTTGCTCTCACTATTATCATTTGCAGTTGATAAAATGAAAAATTTTCAAACAAATTCGGATATCCACAACATAAGAACAAGATACAGATACAACCTTCTTGTGTCGAATTCTAACTTCAGTAAATATCAAAACGGACTTTGCTATACTCGAATTAAGTTATTCAATAATCTTCCACATACTATAAAAAGTTAAAATCACGATATAAAAATGTTTAAGCCAGAGTTAAAGGAGTATCTCCTATCTCACTCCTACTCAGTAGAAGAATTTACATCACCGAAAAAGTCTCAACTATTATAAATTAATGTAAGTAACAATGGTGATGGTTTCTCATCATAATTATTTTGCTATAATACAGTAGTATCAAAAATCTGTAAATAGCTGTTATAACTATGTATTTATATGTATACTAGAAACAATTAATGTATTTGTGCTATGACCTGTTCTACATCCTTGGCTTAGGCCTATGAAAGATCTGTGGAATGTAAATAAATTTCCACTTACGTCAGCGTATGTAAACTTAGAGTCGTCAAAAATCACATCTCTCACAAAAAGCATTTTTCAGCCTTTCAAGTCCACAGTTAACCATTTTTAATGTAGCCAACCATGAAGTATTTCTTTGTTGTTGACTCAAATATACCTTTTAACAAGTTTCTTAAAAATGTGTAATTCCTATTCCCTCGAACGTGTCTTTCAGCACTTCCCAAAATTCACACGCCATTTTCTTGTTCCTTATATATTCCATGTGACTGTCTGCTATCCTTTGTACTATTTGTGATTTCTTTTTCCTTTCTGTAGTGCCACGATAGTCTTTCCCTTTTCCGCACGAACTTCATTTGTGTCCATGCAAATTGTTACCATTTTCGTAACTGGTTTTTGCACGAATTCAAACAACTTCAACTCATCCAACAGTGTCTCTATTCTGAACTTCCAGCTGTTAGAGTTACTCCCATCAAATGGAATTGTATTTTTCGCCGTTTACAGAACAGTTTCAAGTCACGTAAAATATTATACTATTTCGACTCGTAGGGCAGTATACTTTACTATAAGTGTCTATATCAAATACACAACATGCATTTTGGAAAAGGATAATCAAATAACATTTAGTACTCCTATAAGCCAACACTACACAAGAAACAAACAGGGAAAAAGGAACAACAACAAATTATTCAGTGCATCCAGCGAATCAAAAATTATGTTCATAAGGTGAAGCCAATAGGTTACAAGCACCACAAATTCCGTGTTCACTTCCCTAACACAACAGAAAGCATCACCACAATTACTTACGTACATTTATAATAGCTGAGAATTTTTGGTTGAATTAATTCCATGGAGTGGGAGTGAGATAGGAGATACTGCTTTAGTGCTGGCTTCAACTTTTTTACATCGTGATTCAGACATTTTATAGTGGAGGAAGACTATTGAATAGCTAATTCCTGTATTCTAAAATCCTTTGATGTTTTCTGATATTAGTGTTTGGTACATGAAGGTTATATCTGTAAGTAGCTAAAGCTGTCCCACTAAAGGCCATGTCGGCGCTTGGGGGAGAGAAGATTTATAACTGTATCTTATATTTATATTGTGGATATCTGAGTTTGTTTGATACTTTTCTATGTTGTGCACTTGAGATTATAATAGAGCAAGAACTCACTGGCTAGTGGAAGAATTTTTAATTTCTTACGCAGTTTCCTACATGAGGCTCTCCTTTTAGTGCTTGCCATTGTTATAATGATTTTCTTTTTAATGTAAAATACTTTATTGCTGTCTATTGAGTTCCCCAGAATTAATTCAATTTAATTAAGTTCAAGCTAGCTAGTAAAGACATCATTCATGCAAATTTGGAAACAGTCAATTTCTGGATGTCTAATAATAGTATTAGTATCATTTGCAAAAAGTATAGGTTGACTGAGTTAATGGCTGGCAATAAATCATTGGTATGTATGAGGAAAAGCTCGATACCCTTATCTCGCATGTGTTTTTTGGTTAGGTCACGCGCCGTGTTCAATTTCTCCTTTTTACACTTCACTGCCATGAGCTGGGATAGCTCAGTCAGTATAGTGGCTAGCTATGGGCTGGACGACTGGGGTTCGATCCCCGACGGGGGCAGAGGATTTTTCCTCTGCGTCCAGACCGGCTCTGGGGCCCACCCAGCCTCCTCTACAATGGGTACCGGGGTCCTTTCCCGGGGGTAAAGCCGGCCGGGGCGTGATGCTGACCACTCACCCCCATCTAGTGCCGAGGTCAAGGAAGAGAGGAGCTATACCTCCACTCCCCCCAAACGCCTACATGGCGTATAGTGGGACAAACTTTACTTTACTTTACTTTACTTTGCTTTACTTTTACACTTCACTGTCACGCATTATTATAACACTTGTTTTAGGTCTACTACGATGACTGGGCCTATAACCTGGTGGGTTTTCATATAAAAGTAAGTAAAACTTTCATTAAAACTTTATTGCACACATAAAGAAAGCATATAAATCGTACATAAGTAATGTAGATCGCCATGCTTACTGCTACCCTTGACCAAGGTGTTTTAGCGCTTAATTTTAAGCTTTCTTTACTTCTTAACATTTACTATATTTGGGTTATGTTACGAGTTTGCAGTTGATAGATTCCTGTTAATGGAAGTTTTGTTCTGTGTTATGTTTTCAGAGGTTGCATATATTTTAATACATTTTATTAAATTAAAGTTTGTTATATTATGTTCATATGGGTTATGAACTGTTTTAGTGTTGGTAGATGTACCCTTGCTGTATATGCTGTACTTACTTCTTCACTCTTTGTTGCTAAGACCTTCCTGAGAAGTCAACAGTTGCCCAGCCACTCAAATAATTCCCAACATTTTGTGGAACCTGAAGATTCATTACTGTTTTCACAACAGCCTGCCACTGGTCAATATCTGCTGTCTATAAATTTGTTGGGACTTCTTTTGTTAGTTGAATATAAAAGAATTACATTGGTGTTAATCTTCCTTGTTGGTTGTGAATTTTAAGGTTGGGTGTACACAGTTCAGATCAGTTTTGCATTAAAAAATTAATACTCTTCTATTGAATGATGCCTTAAAAGAGCAACAAGACAGGGCACAAAGTCACAGTATTTTAATTGTACAATATAGGTTTGTATGAATTACAACCAAATACATGAAAATAGCTGTCTTCTGGGCTGTAGCATCACGTAGTCTGGCAGAAGTTAACCAGACTACACAGTGCTACAACCCAGCAGACAGCCATATTTGTACTCACTGGTATGAGAACCTCAAATCCTACAAAATATATGAATTCATACTGGTTCATGCTATTGATATCTTGTTATAATAATACCAATCTTCATTAAGAATGACTTTGTAAAAATTCATAGAAAGTAAACAACTGCATATCAGTTTCATTTCATGGTCTTGTGAAAGTGTTTGCTTAGTTATTGTAGCTTTGTCAGGTTTGCATAATTGGTTTCTCTTTAAGGAGGATTCTTACAGCAACAGTAATTTAAATAACACTGATTTCAGACTTTCTGTCTGGATTGTAATAGAGTTTGAAAATGTAGTGAGTGGTAGAATTGAAATCTTGAGTTCAGTTCTTCTGTACATTTGAGAAGATCCACCCATCTCCCCTCCCCCTCCCCATTATCACACTGTTTTACCTTCTTCTATTAAAAGTTGTTTAATTTCACTTGATAAGAATGCTCACAAAGAAAATCAAATAAATCAGACATAAAATATGATCAATAGCTGTGGCAAGTATAATCCAATACTGCTGTATCTGCAAATGTTTTGGAGCAGAAGTCTGAGTAATTACATCTGAGTGACTTTCATTGACATCATTAAAATTTTCTTCCAGTTGATTGTAGGTTTTACTTCCCTGTAATGGAAAATTAATAGCAATAAAATTGATTGTTACAGAATGTACTAAATGTAAAGTTTAAGCACTGATATCATGCACACCTTATGCAACAAATATCAAGTACTAAGATCTCCCAAGCCTTAAATGGAGGTGATGTAAGCATACAGCTGGTGTCATAATTTATCGTACATAATTTACTTCTGTCTGATCATATGTGGCTTTCTCTGCCGTTCATTATTTACAGTTATCGTGCCATATGTGTGTTGAGCAAAAACACCAATATGTCTGCCTAGTTTGAAGAGAAGCATGAATTAATGTCACACCAAGAGTAACTGAAAATGGATACAAAAACATGCAGACTAATATTTAAATAAAAATGTGATTATTGCTTGTGTGTAGAACAATTAAAAGTAGCTTATTATCATCTACATTATCGCTGTATTGTACTGCATTGGCAAGGCTGGAAGTTCGTTTTTCTGGCATTCTGACATAGGGTTTGGTGTTAAAATCTGACTGCAGATATACAATTCTGTTTACAAGAATTTTTGTCTTTTACTCTTCCAACATGTTGACCAGCGAGTAAGGATGTCCATGCAATTGTAATCTTTCTACTTTGTTTTGCTCTGGAACCTAGTCACATGTCTCAGATAATTCAGTGTTGATAGTAATACACATTTTTCTTCAATTTAGATGGACATATTGGTGTCTTCAGTGAATTGATATCTTTCGGATATAATTGTGGTTAGTGAAAGGCAGAGGAAAGCCTCATACAGACAAACTGAAGGAAATAAGAGTGATGAGAATTGTGATGCTGGTTGTATGCTTACCTCACTTCTGATTTTGGACTTAAAATTGTTAAGTACTTGATTTTTATTGCAATGTACATAAGAACACAAAGTCATGTGAACATCCAAACCAATTTAGTGGGAGAAGCACTTCACATGTTTCTTAAGTGAATGTTTTGCAGTTGATTACTCACACTAAACTTAAGGTGATTACTGAGCGGGCGATCAGCAGTGCTGCCAGAAATTAAATTTTACTGAAATATATAGGCAGGATGCTGAAGTTATGTGTATTAAATGCTGTGCCACCAGGGTTGATGCTACCGAGTTGTGCTTTGAACTTTGTAACTAATACTTTTATTCTTTTAGTATGATTGCCAGGATCAGTGTGGGCTGAGAATACTTGCACCCCCACATTTATAACAACATTGGAAAGATGTGCTCTTATGGTGTACACTGTTAGAATTTCAAAGGTGTTCATTATGCCTCACACTTATGTTATAACGTTAGTAATTTTGTTTAGAAAGTAAGCATATATTTGCTGTCATCCTTTTCATGTATTCACTTATTAAATTTGTTGATTAGGCTGTAGTTACCAATATGTCTGTATCATGAGTTAAAGTTTTGTCAGCAGTGCACTGCTTGCTTGACAGGTTTGTTCATGTTGTCTTATACACAGGTGCTGTTCATATTAGAACTCGGAGGTTAACGAACCATCTATCTTGGGTATTTCATTGCTTGGAATAGTTTCTACAAATTATACAATATCTATTCTAGCTTTACCCTGGCAATTTATGCTTCAGCACTACACAATGTAATTTCTGCAGTTATCAGACCAACTTTAGCCATTTGCTCTGCCTAATGCATTATAACAGTAAAATTAAATTTCCCCTGCTACAATGATTATACTAAAATATAGTTTATAATGATTGTAGCAGCAAATATAGGTGGTGTGGTAAATGTTTAAATAACCAAACAAACAGTTCCATTTCTAGCTTGAAAAGTCAAGTACCATTTGTGTGCTAACTTCAAATGGTTCAGATAATGAGATTGGCCTGAAGTCTTATTATTACTGTAATTATTAATTTATTTATATGTTTGCAAATTGGAATGTGAAATCAAAAGAACCAGGATACTGCCTGTTTAGTTATAGCCTTTGAAATATTTTGCTTTACCTCCATATTGACTTGAGGTAAAAATAATAAACTCTGCGTGACTTGAAAAGTGATGAATGTACAAAGGAAGTTTGGAGGTGGAGCTGCATGTGCGTAACGTGAGATGCCAATCACCAGTGTAGACACCAAAACTGACAACATGGCTGCTATCATACTCCAGCTGTACATCAGCACTGCAATGTTACACAAGAGAATACAAACCAGCCTTGTTGTTAACAAGCACTGCTTATACTAAAAGTGTACTGTGGTGTTGCTCATATTGGAAATTATCCAGAGCAAAGACCCACACCAACAATGATAGTACAATTACACCAGGAAACATAAAGAGGTAAAATGATAAGCATCTTCATGTCACTCTTAAATATTTATTTTTTGACTGTGTGAGGTTGTGAAAATTAGGATTGTGGCCTTCTGGGTAATGATGCTGTGTGGTCTTGCATTTAGTTACCAACATTCTGGAGGAATTTATCAGTTCAGTATACACGGTTAAAGCAGAGAGGGGTTTGAATTAGTAGCCACCTACAAGACTGCACAGTGCCATAATTCAGAAAACCATAATCCAATTTTTTGACAGACAACAGTAGTGAGTTTGGTTAGGTTAGGTAGCAACCTTGCTTTGAATTTTAGCTATTGAGAATTATTGTGCTTTTCATTAGTAAATCCAGATAAATTTTAGGATAGTGCCTTGATATAGGTCATAGCAGTTTCCTCCCACATCCTTATCACTCACCATTTATCATCATCCTGCATTATCACATTTGATGCTACAGAACTTAATGTAGTTGTCACACAGATGTTAAAATCAAAACAGAAAATTTGGTTTTGGGTCTGAGATAGGAAACCAGCTGTTATGACTGAATTTTCTTGTTATTTTAGTTAAATGTTGGAATACTTCTTTCGCAGCTTTTTGTTCATAATCATCTTGCAGTGTAATGAATATGTACAATGCTTCTTTAAAGCCTCTTGTGCCTAATTTTTAGTAATCCTTGGTCATAGGCATGTTCAAGAATTATGTTTTTTAGTTCAAGGCAAACATTACAAGGACAAAAATTTTCTCTACTAGACCAGTTTCTTTCTAAAGTGCACTACTCTTAGCCTTTTAAATATAAGGTCCTTTTTCAATAATAAAAAGTCTTTGACTTCAAGAGGCATGTCCATTTTGACTGCCTGTCAATCTGAAAACTGATACTACTCTTTTTCTCACAACTCATTTCATCTAAAAATTTGCTGCAGGTGTTGGTTAACCCTCTTAAATCATATTTAGAAATTCACTCCATACCTCAAAGAAAATTTAACACTTCTCCATTACAAAGAGCAATTGGTTAATGCTACTTACTCTGAGAATCATATGAAATCCATAAATACCCTTCATGGGCAAAAAACACAGTTCCTGATTATTACAGCAGGTGATGCATATAGTTACCACTTGGCTTTACGGGGTTAATAAGAACACATAATACTTTATTGTGTGGTACAATCACTCATAATAGTGTGGTTACAGGAGTTATCTGTACTTAACTGTGGCAGAAAATTCTTAAAAATTTAGTAATAGGTACATGGTAGGAGACTAGTCAGTCTCTTAACATTTGTGTACCCCCTTACGTGCACCTTACAGGAAATTAAAAAATCATGTACTTAACCCTCAAATGGAATGCTTGGCAAATAATCTGGCAAGATGGTGATTAACTTGTCAAAGTAACCAGTGGTTGAGAACAGAAGTTGACCAGTGAAAGTAATAGCACAAAATCCAGGTAATTCAAATGGAATGCATCTTGCAAGAACTAAAACAACTGAAATTAAAGGCAAATTAATGTGACTGGATAAATGGCACCACATTTTGGGAACATAAATGCAGGGTCTCAATTTGGGACTAGATGACTAGTCACAGACCAGATGGCATTGTCATTGCATAGATAAGTTGTTAGTTTGAGGAGGCAAGTCTGATGCTGCATACAGAAATAGAGAACTATGCAGAAACAGGAAGAGAGGGAGACTTTGTTGTGAAGTTGGTTTATACCAGCATTGCCTATAATTACAGTTACAGTGAAATGGTTTGCTCACGTGCTACTGCGCAAACCACCTTACATGGCCGGTAACCCAAGAAGAATTCATTATTCTGAAACTGTGTGTATAGCAAATATGCCTCAAACAATGGACATATCCAGCTATTATTCCTATAATGAATCAGCCATTGTCAGACGTTTAGAGAATCATTGGTAATTCACATATAGCTACAAACAGTATATTCTTCTTTATTACGCCGTCTCCTTTACAGGAGGTTGGCGACATATTATGACCAGGATCCTTCCATCCTTTTCTCTGGCTGGGACCTGTTCATATATGTTTTTTAGGCAGGTGATACAGAAGTAGTTTGCCATTTCCTTCTGTGTGTATGAAGTATGGAGTAATTGTTGGGATGCCACAGAGAAACCGGGGAAGCCCCGGAGGAAAACTCTGTGTTGCCCAACACAAGTTATAAATTTGGGCACCGCTGGGAATCGAACCCGGGACCCCAGGATTACAAGGTCAGCATTCTAACTGCTAGACCACTGTGGCGGTTACAAACAGTATACTTAAATGATAATTTTAAATTACTTATTGTAATTATCAATACCATTATGCAGTGTCATAAAATCTCTTACCTAAGTTTGGAACATGTTC